AGACGAAACCACTGCTTACAGTATGGGAACAGACGGCAAGGTTAGCCATAACGCTCGATACAGTCGACTCCTTCTTAATGATCATCAAGACCTTACCTCGCACTAAAAAAAATCAATCGTTGAGCGGATTTCCCGTTACGATTTGCTCAATATAATTAGCGCCGAAACGTATTCTTGTTTCCACTGATACAGTGAAACCTGGATGCCATACTATTCCTTCACCGGTAACCACCTATCATTTTTTCAGTTTTCCCCGACAGTTCGCTGGCCCCCATTCATTCTCCTGGTGGAGAGCCGATCTGTCAGAAAAAGGTTTCTTGCCCTAGAACATAACACCATCAGGGACTTTTAGTAGTTCTTATAACATTATCCATAAAGGCGGAGCTGAAAAAGACTCATCGTTGATTAGCGTTTTCATGGCTTCCTACAATTAAACCGAAAATTTTCTCAAGGATCAAGAGGGCGAGAATGTAGGGACACGACTCATTTGGTAGAAACCTAAACAAAATGCGGTATGTGGGTGATAGTGGAAGTCATCTGCTTTGGACTGGAATTTCCTTTTAAGATGATTCCTCCAAATAAAAATTACATGACAATTTTTTTAAACTTTTCTTATATGTTCCCTACCAATGTATGTTTCGAAATATATGATAAACTCCTATTTCGCTACGTGTCACGTAAACTGGGTTAATCTCTATAGACTTACTCATATTTGTTATCCTTTTCTCCTAACTGGCCAGGGATCGATTTCAGTATCTAAGCACTTGCGAACCTACCCCTCCCCTAACCCAACATTAACCTTTACTTATTATCTGTTGACTGATGTTGGGTTAGGGGAGGGGTAGGAGTGCAGTTTCCCAGATACTGACATTGATGATTGGCCAGTCTAGCAAAGGGAGAATAAAATAAAATAATTTTGCTCTTATTACTCGTAGTTCTCACAGTGGAGTGTGCACCGCATGGGTCAAAGATTAACTGACGTTGATATACACGACGGGGCAGTGTGGTGCGATTCAGACAAATCCTCTCAGAGCAAGTACAAATACATGAGTTCACCATCATCTTATGGCAAGATGTTTGTTTTTGATTCTGAAGGACAGTATCTTCTTTCCTGTGGACCGGAGTGTGGAGTAGTATATAAAGTAAGTTGTGTATTGCTAAATACAGTACGTACCGTCTAAAACATCGCAAACGTGGTCACTCAGTGAGTATAGTTTTTTGGATTTCTTCTTTGCGTAAAAGTGTGGATTGTCCTCCTATCCATCTGTCCTTTATTCCTTCTTCCCGTTCACCTTCTTCTCGCCAACCTCCCTTTGTTTGTTTCTCTTCTCTTCTCTTCATTCAATATTTCGAGCCTCCATTCATTCCTCTCTCCTCATTACCCCCTTTTCTCGGGTTTTTTTTTTCAAATTGACTTCATTTTCTAACCTTACAGGTCCAGAAGAATCAGGATTTGAGTCAAGTGTTAACTTTACCAGCTGAGCACAAGTCACCAGTTGTAAGCGTCGATTGGAGCTCCTCTATGAGCTGTTCCACATGCCTCACTGGCTTTGCGGATGGATCAATACAAGTAACATCTTTGCTAAAAAATTGAGGATTACTTTCAGCTTTAAGATCAACGAAAGGGTTTGTTACCTCGTAGAACATAATAGTCGACCCTTTGATATCACATCCGTTCAAATGCAAGATGGCGTCAGAGTTACAAGGACAAAAGTTTCTGGAAATACTCAAGATTACATGTTTTTAGCTTTCGTGTACCCGCACAATCCCTTCCTAGACTCGTGATATGAACTGTTAAAATTAGAAGTGTTTGGGAAGTACTAGAAAAATCCTTATACGAGTCTTGTGAGCCTAAGTTTGTTATGTGCTGCAAGACCACACATTTATTTTTACCCTTTGAGTGATGTGTCCATGTCCGTTGTAGTAGAGCTTAATTCTCGTAAGATGATCGTCATCGTTATTCGTGTTTGGGTTTGTCCTTGACCGTGCTCAGTGTCCTCAACGGGAAGTTTTTATAGGTTTTAATTCTCGAAGTTTGGTTGTGTTTCAATTACTTTGTTATTCGTTTCAAATGTCTTGTGAAATTGTTTTGGTTAGTGTTCTAAAAATATGTGTACTCTGTCAAGGTCAGTTGTCCCGAAAGCCCAAACATGCCTACCGATAGGGTATTTAACTCTTCAATCCCTAAGAGTGACCAGCATCCAACTTCTCCTAACAATGTCACCACTGAATCACACATTAATGTTATGAGAGTAAAGGAATGATCCCCAACTAAAGAAATTCTTGGTTATTAGACAAATTCTCCTTGTCAGCACCTTAGTAAATGTACAGAGAACAGTATGGCGAATGTGAATACTGAATTTTAGAGAGAGAAAAGATAGAACCTCAGAGAGCGAAATAAACTGAACTGATCAGACTCCTGGTACCTTCCGTTCGCGTTTGGTGTTCAAGCCAGTCTACCCTAATAGTCCCAGTACTCGAGAAAACGTCCGAGGGAGAGTTGTTGCGGTTTCATTAAGGCCACAAGGCTGGTCCTTCTGTCTACCACAGTCAGCCCAAGATAAATGACCCACTGTGTCAGGAAGAAACTTTATTTTGTATTCAAATTGTTTTTCTATTTGTTTTATAAATGGCAACTGAAAATATCTTTATTTTTTTGCCCAACGAAAGGGAAATAGTCGTTTTATTATTTAATGTTATAACTTTTGTTTGAAGAATGTACTTTGTTAAAACTGTCGATAGCGTTATCAAAGATCGCATCAGGATGAGTAATATATACAATTGAGATGAGTTATGTGCTGTATGACAGTTGAAAATATATATATTTTTTTATTTTGAAAAATTGTAGTAGAAATGATTTACAAAAACGGACATGAGCGGGATAAGAAAGTGAAAGGTAAATGTTTGTAACAAATAGTTTGAATAAAAACATGTAGGTCATTTTCTTCATAACGGATATTACTTATTTATTTTCTTTTCCTGCATGTTATTGATGGACCCTCAAACCTTTCCACTACTTCCATTTGGTATGTTTGGTTTCAATTTGGAGAATTAATTTTCTTGTTTGTTGAAATAGTTCTCAGAGGCAAACAAGAAGATAAGAAAGCGAAAGAGTTTGTAGCAAATAGATTATAGACTAGTAGAAAATCTTCATGTTACTTCTATACTAAGATACGAGTAAAGTTCAATATGCTCTCTTTAATGAGGGTTTTTTTATTTTTCTCATTTTCCTCTTATTTTGATTTGATTGTAATCAGCTACCCGCAAACTTTTTCTCTATTTCACATTTGGTATATTAATTTCATTTAAATTGCCTTAGGTCATGATAAAGTATTTTCCCGTCTACCCCTCCCACTAAAAACGGATTTTCACACAGCCTCACATACAGCTCACTGAAGCTGTATGCTTCTGGTAGCAACCAATAGCAAGGAAATTTGTACCTGATTTTAAGAGATCCCTTAGCGTTTTTTCAAATATTGTAATTATTGCCCTCGCGTAAAATAGATGTTCTTTAAGTTTACTCCAGGCTCGGCCATTGTTTTGGGACACAATGACATGTTGCGTAGACTCCTTTGCAATTGTTGTTTGCTATCGTTACATCACTCGTTCTCCCTCAAGCCTGTCCAAGGCGTTCAGCCAGTAAACGGGGCGCTCACAGCAACTAATGTTGCCTCGTCTTTCAAATAAACGCCTGGAAAAGGCAAAGAGTAGGTTGTGTGACTAGATCAAATGATGCCAGTTGCGAAGGAGACTGCATTTTTCACAACGCGCTGCGCTTTCGGCTCTCATTTCAAGTGATAGGTTTTCCATGGTGTACATGGCGTGACCTGCGTTGATCATCGCCACTCAAAATCGCTTCTCTCACCAGGAATAACCTCACATCTCATCTCCCCTCCCAGTTGAAGGTTAGAGCGAGTGCCTTTTGTCGTGGGTGTATCCTGACGAGCTATTAAAATTACCTCAATATAGTAGGCGAACAATGAAAGACTCGTGAGAGATTGCATCAGTCAGGCGTCTCACCAACTGACCTGAAAATACACTTATTGTCGACGCGAACTTGAGCTGTCACTTGTGATGTACGAAACTTCCTCAATACTCTAAAAAAAGTTTTCCTTATTCAAACTTCAGGAAGAATTCACGCACTTGGCCGCGCCTTCAAGGTTGCAGTGATGATAGGGTAGCTTTGATGCAGACCCTCGACATAGCCAGCTATATCCGAGGCGACGATGACATTGGCCCCCCCAAAAATGAATTGAAAAAATAAAAACTTCCATCGCAATATTTTTTAAATTTCTAGCCCATGATAATTTATTGACAGTAAGTCTTTGGTAAGGTTAGTTAGGGCTCTGGTGAATTTTTGTTGCCACACTTTCACGTTAAAATCACAAGACAACACGCTAATTGACACGTGTCTTGCATTGCTAAAGCGAAGTCTTCCGCGGGTAATCCCCTGCAACGTTTCAGGGAACAATTCGAGATGATGACAACAGAGATTCTCTCAGTGGTGAGTTGCCTGTTTCTTCGAGTCCCTTTGGAGCCTCTTAAGAAGGACTTCGTGTATAGTTAGTCAGTTAGTTATTCATGTCTGACTGTTACAATTAAATATAAATGTTAACATTTGAGATTGGCGAAATTACCGTCATTGACATTCGACTGGGTGTGCTGTGCCCTTGCGATCACAAATGATAAAATTGTGTTGGGGTGGAGAGGTATACCAAGATTTTTTTAATACTGCATTTTTCCATATTGTCGCTTCAACGTAGTTATTTCTAATTGTCAGCTACTTCGGATCAGGATTCTTTGCATAAGGTTGCATCACGAAAGTAGGGTGGTGAGTAAAGATTTGAGAAAAAAAATCAATGTCGAGGATAGCTAAACAAGATTATGACCTCTTACTCGTTAGCCAATAGAATTCTTGTTTAGTGACCTTAATATATTGATTGGTCGCCAGGCCTTCCCCGGGAGTACGAGCAAGAAACCCCAATAAGGAAAGTGGAGGACATGGCATAAATTTGGAAACTTATCCAAACCTAAATGGTTGACGCTTGTGCTTGGACGTCAGAAAGAGGGCTGGTTCCTCGAGACCAGGTCGAAGTGCTGTTGTCGCTGCTTCTGAAGGCCGAGAAGCGGACATGGATCGCAAATATTTCCCCCGTCAACTCGTCAGAACATGACGACCGTGAACCCGCTCCAGGGGAAGGCCAAAGTCGGGATTGTTACTCTGTTGATACTGGATCGCTGCTACTTAGGTAAGCTATACTATTCGGAGAATTGAAAATGATTTCTTTTCAACCGCCAGGGCCATATTTGCGTCCATTTTAACTGCTTGAAATTGAAGGTCATTTAATTAATTCGTATGCTTAATTCCAACTCAAGCGTGGTTCACACCGTTACTGCTTATTTATAGACTGTCATTTGCTTTTAACAGTGAATGCGAAAGCGTTATCTTTAAACGGTAGTTCTTTTCTGTAACTGTGATGTCATAGACTGCCAGGATTTTGTTAAAAGTGGACATTTTCGCTTGCCTTCTCGACCGTAAACGTGTTAACCGGAAGTACTCTGACTTGCGTAGCTTACATTTTACACAAACCAACCAACCTTGTTCTTACTTCATCAAGCGGTCTCAAATTGAGTGCAGCTTGGTACTAAGTGTGTAAAGCTTTGGCACGAGTAATCAGCTAAGGACTGGTAAAACTAAATGAATCACATGTTCCTTGTTAAACATCTTTCTTGTGTTTGTCATGTTGTTTTTCCTCTCCCTCTTGTTCTACATGAACAGACCAGCTTTGTAGATAACGATTGTGGGATTGCATGTCAAGCTGCCATGTTTGTTTTCCTTGTGAACATTTGTAAAGCTCACATTATGTGTGCATCCAGATCTTGTGCAGTTGAAAGCCCCATAAAGGAAGAGGTTTTTTTTCTATAATAATTGGTGATTTGGCTTCTTGTCAGTGTTTTCTGTTTGTTTATAAAAGTGATAAATTTTACTTAGTGAATATTTGTCTTCATTATGGTATTAGTTTTGTTTCTATGCTCAAGTTGAGAGCATTTACACCTTCCTCTTTGTTACATAATGGTTGCAAATTTTGAATTTGTGAACTTTCAAAATGTCTTTCTGTAAGAAGATGTAGAAGAAAAACAAAGCCACATTTGGAAAATCTGGGAAAGAACATTTCTAATGTTTTTGCAGAGCTCAGATCATACTATTTCTTTTGCTATCATAGCAAGTTATTTACTTAGAGGCAAAAATATATAGTTATCATCTATAACTATTAAGCTTTCAGAAAATGAATACTGTAGGTTGATTTGATTATCCTTTTTTAGCACTTGCCTAATAGTCCTCCTTTAAAAGCTGTTAATCCACTAATATGTTACCTCTAATGTTAATTTTTTTTCACTGTTTGAAATGTTTTGCCAAGGTTAGAGGTAAGTTACAAGTAATAATCATGGATTAGTAAAGTGTGTTTGACCAAACAAAGACATGGCTGTTTTGCCTCAGCCTACCAAAATCAATACTGAACATCTCTTCTTCTTTTCTTGTGAAGACCTCTGAATATTCCTAAAGACATTCTTTCCATATGACCTCTTCTGAACACCACCCAAGAATTTCAAGGATGTTCTGATAACTTTGGCAGCTTGCTGCATGTATATTTACATGTAGCAATGCAAAGCACCAAATCATTGACATATGTGTTAAAGAGAAATTAAGTACTTGACTATACAGTATGTTATGGCATATCAGATATGCATAGATTCTGCTAGTATTAGAACTTTTTTTTCCCATTAACAGGCATGGATGTTCCATCAAGGGAATTCATAGGGAATTCTATGCTCTTGAGTGAGTGCTTTTGTTACAATTTATGACAGAGACAATATAATTCAGTTACATCTAGCTGTAGTCATACATGTATTGAAATGTGAAGTTGAAACATGAAATCTTTTTTTTTTTTTAGTCCAAGGCACTACTGTGTTAAAGTCACAGCTGAGATTACAAATCCAGACTGTTCGTCCTCTCAGATGCAAGTGGTAAGCAGTTAATTAATTGATATATAATTATTTTAAGACTGAAACTACATGTACTGTCAGTATTTATTCACTTATAAGACACACTCGGTTACAAGACGCACCCTAAACTTTCAAAGACAATTGTGACAAGTAAGCAAAATTAAAATTTCACATAAATACCCTGTTAGAAGGGGCACCTGGAATTACAGGAAATTTTGTTGACCACATTCGCTGTACTTACGACAATTTGCTTCCAAAGTTACTAATTACAGTGCTCTCATTCTCAAAACAAAAGCGAAAAAGTCACACATTACAAACAATAGCAAAATCACACATGGAAAATAGCATAAAAGTCACACTTTTTAATTCACTCCATTCATCCTTCTCAGGAGACAGTGTTTTAAGTTAAGAATACTAATTGATCCGTTTTTACGTTTATAAACAATACTCATCTGACAGAACTTTCATTCATCAGTTGCAAAACTCATCTTAATCTTTGAGCATTAGTTCAGCATACCATAAATTTTCAGTAATTATGCCAAGCACTTGTCGTCATTCCTATGATCTAAACTTTAAGTTGAAGATTGTAGCAGAAGTGAACAACAATCATCAGTTCGAGACAGACAGCAAAGCCAAATGCAACAAGTAGCTGAGCTCAGGCGAGCTTTCAAACAAACGATTCTTTTCAGAGCCATCCCAGTTCTTTTTAGAACCAACAAATCAGATAAAGTCAATGATCAACGTTGTTTGTCTTTTGTTTATTCATTTACCAGTATTTATTTACATACTCATTTCAGTTTATTAGGGAAATTTGGAAAAGTTATATTTTGTTGCGTGAAAATACTCTGTTATAAGATGCACCCCAAGTTTTGAGCAGACTTTGATCAAACAAGCAGATTTTCTTGTAAAAACTGGTGTGCGTTAATGGTAATTGGATTGGATGTAGCTCAACTCCTCACTGGCCTTTGGTTACATTTGTGAATATTCAGTTTTTATTCAGCGCTTTAAGCTGTGACTGTTTGGGTTGCCATGGCAAGTACAGCTCATGTTTGGCCTACAAATTTGTAGCAAACGTCTCTAATTTAGCGCTTGTGGTTTCGAGCTGTGTAGAAAGCTAGAATTTTTTATTTCTAAATGTTAGGTAGTCCTAAAGTTCTGTATTGTTGCACAAGATGTCCTCTTCCAAGTATTTTTTGTTGTTTTTTTTTTGTTTTTAAGAGAGAAAGAACTTACATGTAGCAAGAGTGTTGTTTTGTTGGGGAAAACTGTAATAGTTGTGTCAATACATATATACAACTGTAGTTGGCATTTTATTGTCAGTTCCATGAGTTTTTAACCTAGAGAAAAATCTTGGGGACCCATTTATGATTTTGGTTTATCAAACAGATACTAAGGGTTATACACTTAGAACCACTGTTATTTTTTTTTGTTGTTATTATTTTGTTTCATGAAACATCAATAATTATAAATAGTTATTAATAATAATTATTTATTAATTTTTAAAAGTATATATTTTACAGGTTTCAGGTGATGGTATAAACAGGTCTGGGCAAGGAATAAGTTCAAGTAATGTTCTGTTAATAAATAAATATATCATATTACAGTATATCTCTTAGTTAATACATGCACTATGATTGGTTAATTTAGCCAGCGGAATTTCATTGTACAGGTGGCTAAATTCAATATTTTGTTTGAAACCCAGAGATATAATGGTAATACTACTCCATTTTCTCAGTCCAAGCATAAAAAACCTGTCCCATAACTTACACTACAGACCTCAAACTGAAACTTTAGTTATATAGATGAGTAGGTATGTATCCTTTCCTCAGGGGCTATATGGATAGGTAAAAGGGATGAATGACTGTCACTGGACTTAGCAAGTCAGATTGAATACTTGTATAACTTAAGTCCTGTTCTGTGACCTCAAGGAATATGGTACACTGTTGTTTGTTTTCTTTTTTTTTTTGGACCATAAACATAGAGTAGCAGTTCATGGCTGTGTAGGATATGAGGTGTTTAGGTGTTCCTAATGTGAATGGGCAAGAGTTCAAAAAGCAACAAGTGTGCTAATCTAGTTACATGCATGGTCATCCACAAAAGGCAAATGCATGTATGAAGTGTTTTAGTCAAAAGTAGAAACATGAAATCACATCTAATGATCTTTACCAATCTGTGTTTACTTCTATAGGTCTTTCAAGTACTTCTTCTCAAGATTCAACCATTGTACGCTTGACTATAAGGGTAAAATACATTTTAGGTTTTCATTTTCTTCAACAAGAATGTTCATGTACATGTACATGGACCTCTTGCATAAAAGTAGGTGTCATTATTTCCTCACAGTGCCTCTTACTTGTGGTCGACTACTAACAGAAGCACCCCTTTGAGAAGGAGTGCACAGTGTTTCTTTTCAGTAAGCAATTTCTTAGCCCTTTACACCCTAACATCAGCATTCATATTCTCCATACTGTTCTCTGTACATTAATACTAACTGGTGCTGACAAGGACTGGAGAATTTTTCTAACAATAAAGAGTTTCTTTAGTTGAGGATCATTTCCTTTATTCTCATGACATTAATGGGTATTTTCTCTTCTTTCAAACAGACTCCCCTGTTTGAATTGTATAAAAATGCTGTCCTGTGTGCTCAATATCCGGTCCTTGGTGCCTCCCAAGCTGCTGCTTCTCCGTATTCACCAGCATCATCACCATTTGAACCTCCATTGGGAAGCAAAAGGTAAAAATCATTTTAACAACCTGTTCCTTTAAGGAAGAATCAATCATGTTTGTCCACTGAAGATAATTTTCTACTGAAAGTGTGAAACTAAACAAATAAGTGTCTTAATTACCCCTAAAATCAACTGATTGCGAATAGGAACTTTTTAAATGCCATTTCTTGAGTTGTTCATAGTGATGAATAATCATGTACTTTACATGAATGCCCTGGCTGTTGAAGGGTGGAAAACGCTATCCACTGGTTAAATCTCTATGCGGTGGATAGCACAGTACATTTTGTTAACACTTATCTGCTGGATAGCAATTTATCCATAAGATATAGTTATCCAGCCTGGACCCTGCTCGTGTGGATCTGAAGTAGAAGTGGAGGGCAGTCAACTGTAACACCAATTGAAAGCAATTATAATAAAAGTGTTTTGGATCAGAGATATTAGAATTGAAAGGGAAGAGGATGCATATTGGTAATCATCTACTCTTGACATAATTTGTACTGTACATGTATGAGTGGGTAATAAATGCAAATAGTCACCATCTGCTACATGTTACCTTATCTTGGCCAGGGTAAGTGCTCTACACTCAACTCATGTACATACAGACATCAGCTACTAATAATAATTTTTAACTAATGTTTTCATACTGACTTGCCTTGACTTATAGACGTGGTGAGTCATCAGTATCTGACAATGGGCATGTCTCACCTGAAGTTTGCATCTCAACCTTATCAGAGGAATTGCAGGAGTTAGTTCAGAATGTCTTTGGACTTGGAAAGCGTCAGCACAAATTTTACTGTGAGACTGAGATACCAAAGCAAGTTCCTCGTTCCAAGGAGGGTCCGAAGGTATGGTCATTGAAGACATTTATTTTTAAAACTTTTATTGAAGAAAATGGGTTTATGGGTACTGGTAAACTGTGAGGTAAATGGGGTAACATACATGTAGGTGTACAGCATCCCATTTAGGAGGGTGGGGGGGGGACAGGGAGTGGCAATACTCTAAGCAAGCTTCATGCATGAGCACAGGGACTAGATGTCAGCTATTCAAATTGATTACTGAATTAATTTTAACTTACTTTTACCTTATTTGGAGATGGATTCAACAACCCTACCCCCTTCAGCTGCTAGTTCCTCTATCCTCATCTCCTTGTTGATACATGGACGATATAGCAGAAGTTAAAGATTAATCCTGTATGAGTCAGTGTAAAGGATTAAGAAGGGTGACTCTTTCTTCACAGATTTAATTTACTGATGTACAATGTACATCTTATTTCCACTTCTTCTCTTACAGCATTTCATGGTAAGCATGTAGTACTTGCATGGCCAGCACAAAAAATACTGTTATTTAATACGAGATTTTTTTTCCAGACCTACTTATGTTTAAGAAAATGCTATTTATGAGGTTTGGATCTCTTTTAACATGTATATCCACTGTAAGCACTATTTCAGTTAAAATTTTGCAGTATTGCTTAGTGATGAAGAATTAATTGTCAACTTTTCTTTGTACATGTAGTTTCTTGTAGAGGAGTTGCTGAGTCAGCAGCTTGTTTTAGAGCATAACCACCACCCATTTTACAGAGTTCAGGCTTTCATGGACAGCAATGTTTATGATGATTGGTTGATAGATGTCAAAAGAAGGATAGATAGCTTAATCAAGGGCATCTGGCAGTACTCGCTTCCTCCTGTACCTGAGTTGCCCTTGGAAACTCCAAAATACCATGAACAGTATGTGGAGCTGATGAAGAGACTTATCAGGTTGGGACAAATTTCCTTTGACGTTGATGGACATCTCTAATGGCAGAAGAAAAACCAAAGTAATTTCAATAACCCATCAGAACAAAGGAAAATTAAAAGGAAGCCTGAAAAATTAAAGTAAAAATTAGGAAACTACCTGGAGAAAAAAATTGGAGCAATCATGTCAGGATTTGTACTAGCTTTGAATCTTTTTGTAAGGATCTAAACCAATTACAGAGCAAAGAAATAAAAACAATGTAATTATGATTACTTTTGATGCTCAATTGCAAACTATCCCTGCATTATCATATAAAGGTAGAGTACTCTAGATAGAAATTATTTTTTCTTGTACAGGACACTAAAACTAAACTGAATTTAACACAAATTACTAATAAGTAAACTGTGAATGGCTCTCAACAAATTGTTTCTATGACGGATTACCAACATTTATTTTTTGGTTTTTAGGTATGAAAGCAAGCAAAAGGAGCTACATCCAGTTTATCATGAAGCAGTTCCGATTGAACCTTTATCCTCCCCATCTTGCCAACTGTTGAAAGAATTTTCCCTGAGATATGGAGTAGGAATTCTTTTCTGCAAGCTATCATATCTGGAATACATTGTAAAGTAAGTCTTTGTAATGAGGGTACATGTAAAGTACATCAAAGGGAGCTGTTCCGTTCCCAACTGACCATTTTTAAATAATCTCTATTGAGAGTTTAAGAAGCATTTTGAAAAACTCAGTTCTGTTGATGCTAGGTTTTTTTTCTTCTTTTTTTTCTCCAGTTTTCAGATTAAAACATAATTGTACTGTACAGTGCATGTCTATAGAGGTTTTGATAACTTTTTCCATGAACATTTGTCGATGGTGCAACAGCTAGTTGTGGCTGGAAGAACAGCTGTTTATGAAGACCCCTTTTACACAAGGGGTTCTAGTAGCATGTCTGATACACAAATGTACATGTGGGCATTGGTAACAGGCTTTGATTGAAATCCTTTCATATGGCTAATGCAATTTAGGTTAAGGGTTAGCTGAAATTTTCAAAATGACAAGGCAAACCAGCTCGTTGTTATTTAATTTTGTAATGCTTTGTTATTTACTTGTTTAGGTTTTTTGAAAACAACATCTGGTATATTGAGCACACTAAAACATCTCTACGAGATGCGATGAATCTTATTTCTAGCGGCTGTCAGGAAATTTTTGTAGAGGAAGAGGTAAGTCTGGGGCAATGTGATTCTGTTGTACACTGTATGTGCAGGTGACTCTGATCAAACTTGAAAGGTCAACAAGTAGTTTCTCCTCAGAAAATTGTTACACTATAAAGCAGATGGGTGCTAAGAATGAAAAGAAAATAATGATTAGGGCATTTTGTTAGAACTAGAATTATGACAAATGTATAACAGACAGTAAGTAGAAAATAATATTGATATCTTGCCACAGATATTTCCATGGTTTAAATGTTTGATGTCATTGTTTATTAAGAAGTCTAACATACATCCTTGTCAGTCTACGATTCAATGATCACCTGCTTTCAAATAGTGAAAATATTGGAGATTTTGTTTCAACTACAACAGTTTTATGAGAAAAAGAAAGTGGAATTTTATGGTTTCAATTGCTATACACATGTAACTGTTTTGTAGTTTTTAAGGTTATAATTTTATAACTTTCTATAGGGATTGGTCATTATTGGACAATTTTGGTTGTGTCCAGAGAAAATTTGCATGATTTTTCCCTAAGTTCAGTACTATTCTTGTGAACAAATAAATTATGACCATTCCTCTAGAATTTTTCCATGAACATTTACAAGGCCCAGTTGGCACATTCAAATTGCTGAACAAAATGTAAAGTGAAATAGGTGTTTCTAACTTTCAAAGCGTGTGAATCATCTTTGCTGTTTCGTTCAACAAATGCAATGTCTCTATATTCTTTTTCAGTTCAAAATGCTACTGAATATTTTGTCCATTCTGCTAAATAAGACCAAGTATTTCTTGAGTAAACTAAGGAGGATTTTTCCAGCTGACAACAATCCTAACGAAGGTGTTACAGCATTGGTCACTCTGTTTGAACTGACCCTGGAATCTGCAAGAGAACTAGAATCTGAATTTCCATCAGTTTTTAATAGACTTCCACAGGCTCGACAATTCTCCAGCAACTTGTCGAAAGCTCCGGTTTGCGATCTTCTGGCTTCCTTTGTCGAGGTACATATGAACCCTTTACTCTCTAACATTAGTATGCATATTCTCCATACCTACTCCATACATTTCTTAAGGTTCTGAAAAGGAGAATTTGTCCAACAATCAAGAACTTCTTTAGTTGGTGATCGTTTCATTTATTCTTATGACCTTAATGTTTGATTCAGAGATGATATAGTAAGGAGAAATTAGATGCCAGTCACTCTTAGGGATTTAAGGGTTAATTGGTGTGAAAGAGTAACCCCACGGTTCCTTTCTTTTCGATCGCCCCGGCCAGTTTTTCGAGACCAGTGAAACGTTCATGGTTATTTGGCTTAACCCTTTAACTCCCGTGAGTGACTAAGACAGAATTTCTCCTTACTATATCTAGACAATATTATACAGACAAGTGATGAGAATGAAGAAAAATATCAATTATGGGATTACTAATTGATCCGATGCCAAATTCTCCAAACTAACATTATGAGAGTCGTTTGGCAGACAGGAAGGAGAATTACTAATGAGATCTTGGGAGTTAAAGGGTTAACTTTAATTTAATGGTCCGATCGCATGGGCGTTATAAGGGATGATCGAAGCGCCCCGGACAATATGGAAGTCTTTAGCTTTAGTTCGTCACTCAAAACAATTTGACGTGCTATACAGTGAGTTTTACAAACTGAATGCGAAATACAATAAAAATCCCCTCCACTTGCTGTGTCAGCATTATGGTACCATGTACTTCTGGAAGAGACCGCTGTATTTAAAATGTGCATCTCAAAGAGGGAGAGGAAATAATTCTGTATTACGTTGGTTTTGCTTTACTTCGCTGTTTCTTTGCCCCCGAAAACTCGTTCCCCTCTGAACCAATCAGATGCGAAACTACAACCAACCGCGTAAAGGGGTAAGTTTCTAAAGAAACTGTGGTGCTGCGTCGGTGGGAGAGTATAGCAGGTAATTTAGTGTTAACAACTGGGTTGAAAACGTAAATTAGCCACCGTAAAGGGTAAAAAAGCTGACGTTTCGAGCGTTCCCACCGCTCTGACGAAGGGCTAACGCTCGAAACGTCAGCTTTTTTACCCTTTACGGTGGCTAATTTACGTTTTCAACCCATTTGTTAACACTAAATTACCTACAACCAACCGCGGCCTAGTCATAAGTGACGTTTTCCCGCTCTTGAGGCAGTTTGCTTGGGTTTAGTTTCACTTCTTTTTGGCCCATTTAAGTTGCTTTATTCTTGGTGTCGCAAAACTCAATCGGAAAGAGTTCTAGATAGTATTCTGATCATTTTCGTTTGGGTAGACGTTTACGATATCATGACACGTCTTCTTTAAACGCTCAACCAAAAAACTTGCGAAAAGCGTCAACCTAACACTTAATGGACCAATTTCAGTATCTGGGCAACTGCGCACCTACCCCTCCCCTAACGCAACATTAATCCTAAGTTATTATCAGTTGACTATTGTTGGGTCAGGGGAGGGGTAGGTGCGCAGTTGCTCAGATACTGACATTGATCCGACCGGCGTTATCCCTCTCGTTGAAAGATGATAGCTGCCATTCTATCGTGACGTTAATAGCAATATTTATCACTGATGTTTCCTTTCATTCTATTTGTTTTCATAAGAATGAGATCGAGGGTCGATATGAAGGTCTCAAAGTAAAAGCCACCACAGCTTTGGGTCAGAACTTCTCAATGTCAAAGCTTTTGCTTAAAGCTATCCTGGAAATTCATCATGAAGTCAGTTATTACAACTCACAATACAAACAGGCTTTCTCCAGGTTAGTCATTTTTATTTCATACTAGTTTACAGCCTTGTTTTTTGCCATGTCTGTTCTTGTTTCGTTTTACTCAATTCTCAACCTCGTTCCCAGGGTTCTTTCTCTTCCATCCTCAAGGACCCACCCGCCCTACGGCGTGTTTTTGTTCTTCACAAGCACGTGACCAGCCGCAACCAGGGTACTTTCTCAAGGAAGGAAGAGGGAGGACCCTGGGAACGAGGTTGCTCAATTTATGTCTCTCTCACTTCCTTATACCTAGTTCTAAGTGACTTGTATGATTTTTTGTCACAGGTATTTTGATATCATGAAACTTTCTGCTTGTAAGTTTTATTCCCTACTGATGTCAGATGTGGAAGAACTGTGTCAAAATCAACCTCGAAACCAACGACCTGATAATGTGGATTGTTTCATGTTGTGTTTGGCATTCCGCTTATCCAAACTCGATAGAGAATGGGCTGAGTACATTCCTCACCGGTTAGTTCTCATTTTTTTTATTTAATTGTAAATGGGAATCATATCATTGTTATGTTACAAGATTAACGTATCAATGCCTCAAAACGAGCAAGAACGATGTTAACTTTTTTGAAATACGTGTTTGCAAGGAAGAATCTAGTTTTTTGCTTAAAGGAAATTGTGACGATAATGAATTGTGAGTGCAATTTTCATTCAATCCAACTTCTGAAGGGTATCATCAGGATCTCACTGTTTTAGTGGTGGGACTTTGTTCCACAACCCTAAATTTGACGACAGACAAGACAAAGAGAGCACATTTTTTTAGTCTTCTTGACGATTGGTTTGGTATTTCAGTTAAGGGTATTCAAGTAATTTCTGATTTGTATTTTCAATAGGCCACATTTGAAGTTGACAAACAATAGTTTAAGCAGCTTCTATGAAGAAAGAGATATATACCGTGTTAAACAAAACAGCTTTAAAACTTGTGTAGGTTTTGGTGTTAATGGGGTTTAAGGCTCTTTAAATGTTGGCTAAGTAGTTTCTTTGACTTAGATTTAAAGTAAGCTGATTAAAGAAATAAACTTCTCTATATTACATTCTAGGAGTCAAAGATGGCGTCAGCCTTTTCTGGGATTTGCACTACAGTGGCTGGATGCTACCGGTCATTTGCTCCAAGCGCTTGTTCCTCAGCTTATTAACCATGACTTATGGGAGCCAGTGGCAGTAATTATCCATCGATCACATGAACAGAAGCGCAATGTAAAGACACATCCTACTTCTCGCCTACGGTCTGGTTCTGTTCCGTCCTTGACACCGTCTAGTCCTTCTGCTTTCAAAACTGTGGCACCTTCAGCTGGATCTCCTGCTAAGGTACAGCATGTATAACTTATAAGTTTGTGAACTTCATCTGTAAATAAAGGTTAACGAAAAATTCAACTTAGTGATATTGTTAAAGGAAGGCAAACCATGTACTGTGTTGACTCATTAAGAAAGACCACACGCTCACTAACCTAGGAATTACGTCTTACGTCTCCAAGAGGATTGTTGATTAGACTTTGTATAAGAAAAATTTCTCATTACCAACTAATTACCATAACTATCATGCCAGCTGAACTGATAACTTTGTGAATCTTTTTCTTATTTTCATCTTAGTCTTCTGCCGCGAAAGGAAAAGCCAAGAGTGCTAAAGGGAAAGAGCCCCTTCCGTCAGGAGAGAAGAATCGAAAACGCACCCTGCGTGTGGAATATGACAGCAGCTCTGAAGAAGATGGAAAGACAGTGAAGGTACAAGCCCAAGTGAATTTCCCGCGGACAAAAGTTGCTTCCAGTGTGGAGAAGAAAATATTAGAACCCCAAAATGGTCAAGCAGAGGCTACCAGCAGAGAGATACCACCGGCAATGAATGATCCAGCGACACAGCCGCTATCAGGTCCGGAGGAAACCAAGAGGTCTGGAGAAGGAAATGAACAGACAAGTAGTACGCAGGATGAGGATCGACCAGCACAGTCCTTTGAAAAAGAAGAAAGTTCTGTGCCAATCAATACTCAAGAACACCAAGAAAACACCATTGAAGTACACAGTCCAAAGAATGGAACAGAACCTATGGGTCTACAATCGAGTGGCTCCCCAGCTGATCAGTCAGATTTGACGGACAGTCACACCAACCTCTCGAGGAACCAAGTCACTCCCTTTGAGAATGACTCTACCTATGAATCAGACAGCGAAAACTCAATTCACACGTCTGATTCGTTTGACTTCATTGAGGATAGAGGGAAGGCAAAGGTTCCCAAAAAGAGTCAAACAAAAACTTTTCAACCGATTGAAGACGCTATTAAAAGTGGGACAGGACGAAGGGGCTTTAGTTCGAGTAAAGATTGCCAAACCTGCCCTGCGAGACACAGCTGTTTTGGTTCAGAAAACGATGAGAGAAGTTTAGGTGTACGCAAATCTGATCCAGACAAAAATAAGCGAAGTGCACATATTCCAATGCCACGAAACAAACGCATTGATAAGCTACGTCCATTACGTGCTTCCTATCACTCGGAATGTGGCAGTTTTCAAAGTGCCCATGGGTCAGTCTTCTCCGAGAGTACTGAAGGCAGCTATCGCACTCCTCGTTCCAGTCCCACCCCTTCACAACAAGGCCAGTCAGCAACCCAAAATGAAGGCGATCATCACTCAGACAGGATTACTTCTCGAGACGACACACCCAGGTGGTTGGCAATTTCGAGCTCGTTTGTGGATGTGATTGGCGCCGTAAACCGTTTGGCCGCATTTGCGTGTCACCTTTGCGAGATCCTCTGCCCAGACGAGGCTCCTCAGAGAAGTGAGCAAGCCGCGGCAACAGCTGCTGCGTGTTCCACGGCAGGAGATGAGGATTTGGGGCACGAATCATTGGAGATTAAAAGGAGCCTCTACCACAGACTAGTCCAGGTACAGTCTACATATACGGTATGATAATTCTTTAGAGCCAGCATACTCGTGAGACACTTCGAAAATGTTGGGTTTTTTCCGATTCAGGGTGGGTCTAGTTCAGGAAATGAATTACGAGAATCTGTCGTATGAATTTTGGCTACTTGATTATCAATTTGTTATCGGTGGAACCTTATATCGGAACTTTTATTTTTGTGGACCGCGTCAAGAAGGCCGAAAGCTAACAATGGAAGTGACGTTCATTCGATTCAATCAAACCTCTTATGGAGAAGACTTGAGGCCCATTGCTTGCGTAAAACCGCGGTTTGTGTTAGACCTCGTTTAAATAACCGGCCTATAGGGTTTAAAGTTATTTTCATGTAATCAACCAACCCTAACCGCAACCCAAAGCTGATGTATTTATTTCTCAAGCCGTTATATTAATTGACTGAAGAAATAAAAACACCTCTTGCATTTTATCGTGAACAAATCAAACTAACAACAGAGTTCTGTCAGAAAAATGTGCCCGGGCCATAGTATATGTTTTGACTTCATACAGTGTCATTTGTAGGCTGCCTGCGCTGCTCCATGTACTGTATATCTGTTGTTCTAACAGCTACATTGTATATGATTTATCCTTTAAAAGGTGATGTTGTCGTTTGTAAAGCTGTACTCGGACAATGTCTTCGCTATGGACACGTGTGGCTTAACAGATGAAATTCTGACTGACTTATTGGGAGAACGAGTTCAGAGGCGTCTCAGAACACAGAGGGATGAAGGGAAATTACATGGATGCCGTCACAATCCTTTAGCCAGCCAAAGCTGTAACACAACAGATTTGCAGGGTAGGTCTTCGGTATAAAGTGTGCAGTGATAATTTGAGAAGTTTTCAATCGAGTGTGGAAAGAAACGCAGGATTGCATGGGGTTTGCCTTATAATGCTCTCTGATTGGTCTAGATAACCTGCGCCATTTTCTCAACCATTCAGATTCAAAATAAAAACCAATCACGTTTTTTTTTTTTTGGATTATTTTTCATTGGATCCTTGTAATATTTTCTCTGGTTTGATTGGCCGATATGATTATTTCAGATTTCACCACAATCGTGGAGCATATTTCAGTTTGAAAACGTACAAGTTATTGCTTGGTGATTAATTGGTTAAATTCATCGACTAAATCTTTTCGTATCTTTTACATGGTATAGGTGCGCGCATACCACCATGCGAGGGAATGTCCAGGATGGAGGTGAATCTTGGTGGCTTCGAACCACTCACAAGACAGGTCTGTTGATAAGAATTTATTACAGAGGACCCTTCGTGGGGCATGCCTGGGACTAGAGAAAGTGTCCCTTCAATGAGGTGTTCCTTGATTGAAGCTATCTGATGTATTTGTTATAGGAGCATTTTTCTTTGTTTTTCACTTGGAACCAAAGTTAAGTTTCCTCGATTATTCAGTGACGTTTCCTGAATAGAGGGATCCTAAAAGCTGCTGAGCTTTCACTGTAGTTTAAAAATCAAAACAATACCTTCATCACTCTGCACCTTCTGCATTTTTTATCGACGCAAATTTTGTGTTTATTTCTGGCAAAAATGTTTTTATTTCATCAGTCTCTATTCTCTTATCGAGCGAAAGTAGTTTATCAATTGCTCGATATTTGAAAATTTACTGACAGCCAATTCAGAGAAACGCTGAGTAAGATCCGTTTTCGCAGCTCCTACTACAACAACAACAAAAATAGTAGCAACACACATTACGACCAGGCTCCACCATTCACTGCATGTCATTATTTGTCACCAGATGGGCATCAGACTGACCAATGTGGCGATCTTGAGAAGCACTCTTCCATGGTTGTTAGAGCACGTAACTTCCGCTATCACCAATCCCGATTTGATGGAGTATGACTCGTGTCTTTCCTATTGTGAGACTGGGCCCAGCCTGGATGGAATTTCCATAGGCAGTACAGGTAATGTGAAGAGTTTTAAGAACAGTATGCATAGGCTGGTACATTTTTACGCACACATTTACTTAAGATGAACACATGCAGCTGGTTTTGACAGTGTTTACTTAAAATGAAGATGATGGCTTAGGCGTTACACCCCTTGCACTATAACCCTTACGCAAATATTATAAAGTTAGGCGGGTCTACTTGTAAGGCACGTATATTTAGACACTGTCAATACTGATCGCCGATTGGTGACATGAATTGCCCATGTCTGGTTTTAGTAGCGTTTATCAAGCTAGAAAGATAATCTTCTCGCCGCAATTTTAGTTTCACAAAAATAACTCCTTGTCAAATGTATTTTATATACAGCTGAAGGAAGAATTGATGCTCCACGAGCAACGACAGATGCACTCTATCACCCAGGGGTACTGACGAATTCTGTTGAGCACTTTTGCAGGCTCGAGATTTCTCAAGTGAAGCTTATTTCTTACAGGGTAAGTCTACCTTGGTAATTTTGGCCGATATCAGCTGTTGTGCAAGCTGCAAAGGCTGTAGAATATATAATGGTCTTACATAGAACACGGTCGATACATCTAGACTCGAACCAATTCAGGTCTGCTGTTGATAGTTGTGTGTGAATTATTGTCAAAGGAATGTTACCAAGATGTTACCATACATAATATCGTTAGTATTATTTACGATTTTCCTAACGGTTTGATCATAGTTGGTAGAGGCGGCTGGTCATGAAGGAGAAGAAAACAAGGGAGCAGAAGTTTATTTTAGGAATTCTCTGACCACTAGTTTCGATATTTTGGTTTTGTGATCAAACCTTGTTACGGAATAAACAATATGAGCAGCTGGTCATATTGACTGGAATGCTCTGGAACGTTTTGTACAGTCACGTCCACAACACCTGACAAGAACTTATGTCAAAGAAATATTTTGGGTTTCTTTCTTAATCAACTACTACTAAATATGGTACTTATTACAAGTAATTATTCTTAGATCAACATTTCGTAAGAACAACCTCTTATTTGGTGTTTCCGATTATTTCCTTTTGCAGATCAACATACTCTTCAAACAGCTTCTAAGAACTGTACTTGATCTTCATCTTCCAAGATACGACACGAAAAAACGTCTGATACCAGCTATGAAATATCTGTCCCGTGAATTGCAGAAATTTCACGATGTGCTGTACCCGGAAGACTTTAACAAAATCCTCTTAAACCTATGGGATCACGTAGTGCGGGTAAGTATTAAATAGACGATAAAGGGGTGGTTCAGCCTTTAACTCCCACGGGTGACCAAGACAGAATTTCCCCTAACAATATCGATACCATATCAAGCAGACGAGTGATGAGAATGAAGAAAAATATCAATTAGGGGATTATTAGTTGATCCAATACCAAATTCTCCAAACTAACATTAGAGGAATTGTATGGCAGACAGTAAGGAGAATTGCTGATTAGATCTTGGGAGTGAAAGGGTTGAAAGCGTCAAGAAAGCAACTTAAGAGGCTGGTACTACTCACATTGAAATTGCGAAGGGATGAAAAATTTAACCTGTTGTCTTATTCTACATAAGAATATTAGCAAGACGGTGTTAGTCTTGTCGCGAGTCTGGGACAAAGATAAGTTCCACTGAAAGGTATCGAATCCCTGATCCTCGGATTTTGCGGTCTGATGCTCAACCACTGAGCCACGGAGACTGCAGTGAATTAGGTCATGATTAGGTTCATATGTGACAAGTTTCCTACATACTGTGAGCATCAAAAATGAAAAAGAAGTATCGTGTGAGTAAATTGGATGAAGAAGATGGTAAAGTTTACATTTAAGCTCGGTTGTCATTTAAGAGAAATTCATATTCACTAAGAAATCGTAAATTGTCGAATTGTGAATTGTCGAGCTTTACGTGCATAAAAATGGGCAAAAATGAATTCTAATTGTTGCCCACTATTCTCATAATCCTTGCATCAACCCTGTAGTAAAGGAGAAAATTTCTATAATTCACAATAAATACTCATATTTTGCTCGCGTCCAATAAATATTTTTGCTCAAGCGCACAAACGGCAGAAAACAGGTGGCATCAATTTTGGAGTTTTTTTCATTTCTCTTTTGCTGTGCTCAGCCCTTCTTCTATCTGAGGAATAAACGGAACTTCAGTCAAGCGATAACAAAAAGGATTGGGGGGTTCGGGAATGGTACCATTTTATCAGTTGGTTTGAATTGACTGATCGAACTCTTTAGTTGATATTTCCCTTTTGTTTTGCATTAGAATTTCGAAGAAGAATGTCGTCGTTTGGTGAGAAGAAAGTCTTGTGCATCAAAACAAAGCCATCTTTTGCAGCAGGCTGTGTCGGTAGGGATTTTACGTTCTTGTTAATAGTGAACTTCCTTTTTTCATACCTCTTTCCCTAACAAACTGAGCAGATTCCATTTTTTAAATTTAATACAGAAAATTATTTTGGTTTTCATTGACTTTTCTTCTCTAAGCTCCATAACTGGTCGAGAAAACTCGCGCCCTTTTCTTAACCAATCAGATGCGGAACGCCCATAACCGTTTTAGTCACACTCGCTTTCCCGCGCTTTATGAAGTGTGGATATGGTAACGTTGATGTCTTCTTTATCACAAATGAATTTTACCACTGCCTTTTTTTTAGTATCTGATGCAGTTTTTCTATGATGGAGGGGATGGAATTGCGTTCGATGACTTTGCCACACCAATGGTAAGACAGTTGTTTAAAGCTCGACACTTGACTTCAAGAAGTACATTAGTAGTTTTTTTCTGAATCAACCAAGCCTTCATATGCCACTACACAGTATTCTGACGTTATTATAGTCAATCTACATGAGATAACATCACAGCAGCTTCCTATGATTTCTTATCCCGTTGCCGTCCTCACTACTCGTATATGTATAACTCACCTCAAATAAAGGGTGTGCTTATTAGAAGTTTGTGTTTTCCTCTCGCTACGCGTTATTTAGGAATTTTAAGCGTATTAGCGGAAGAGAAAGTGGTGGAAAATTAACTCTTGTATTTTGGTATCTTGTTCTTATTCTGTCAAGTCTCCCCCCCCCCTCCCTGCCTTCTCTTTAAAGATTTTTTGCTCTTTGAAACGTCATGGTATACAGAATTCATCATTTAGTTAAGCAAGGAAATAAAAATATATCGACTTTCGAGTGAGCGATCCTTTATGTTCAGAATAAAGACGAACGGGTGCAGGAGAAGGAACGCTAAGGGTTGCGGGTTTCTTGGGGGAGGGGTGGCTCTGGGAGAAACGGAAAGATGGGGAAGGGTGAGTCAAACGATAAAGAATGAAATAACCATTGTGTCTCTTATTTTCAAGGATTCTGTCGTAAAGCACTTACAGTTGTACACCACCTCAACAGATAGACTCATTTCCATGTACCGCTCCTTTAACAGACAGGTAAGATCTCTAAAGACGAAAGAAATGATAGAGCAATTTTTAATTTCGGAGAGTTAGTATTAGATTTTGGCAGGAAAAATTGTATCCCTGGTCAAGACATATTCCTCTGTTTTAAACACAACAACATGAGAGATATGAAAAGGAAGATTATTTTTATGGTGCTTTTATCAAGTGATAAATTACCTATAAATGAACACCGTTGAGCCATTGAAAGCACTGAAATTCCTAAATATACAACTTGACTTGCGTTAAGAATCTTACTTGAATAAGAAAATGTATGAAGGAAAACCATAATCACAGTTGGCTGGTCAGCCTGTGACACCAGCAGGGCTGAGAATGGCGACTGATTGAGTTACCAATGTGACCACGCTTTCCAGCTGACCTGGAAGACTAAACTTCTTGGTTTAGAAGCCAGATTGGCGACTAGATTTTTTTAAGATTGTGTTTGAAGTAAAAAACAAAGCAACTTTAGGTCGCACTCTGTATTAAAGGAACAAACCTATGTACAGAGTCCCCTTACTGAGAGGTATGTCAGTAATTTACCGTAAATGGAAGGACTAGTGAAAGAATTTAGTTTATCATAATTTGCTTTCTGTTCTTTAGGTTCTAAACATGCGACAACAAAATCGGAATGAAGAACTGACGTCGTCAATGAGCACTAGCTCACGTCTGGCTGATGCGAATGCTCTTGCGGATAGCTTCATTCAAGCCATGCGCAAAGATCTGCACACTTCTCGCAAGTGCTTTTCGGGCGCAGTGTTAGTTGAATGGGTGGTTAACTATGTTGGTAACCATGGTTACGACGAACTGGGACTTTGCATTGGGGACACGGAGACTCAAACAGGACTTGACTTAGGTCAGCTTGTAATTAAAGAAGTTTTAATATGGTATCGAAATTAAAGACGGATTGCATTGGTTTTTCCTCACTTCACTCTTTACACGAGATTGGTGTAGTAAATTCGCGCCAACTTCTTAAGTAATTAGACATAAAATGAAAACCAATTGCAACTGTAAGAAGTCGGATATAAAGTGATCACACAACCCTCTTTGTAATGACTTCGTTGATTATAGTGGTGCGTGCGCTTTTTCGGCTCAGACGTGTGTCGTATCTTGTTCAAGTCATGCACTCCCACGTTATGGGGAGGTAACACTATACTCCGTGTTTTTGAGGAATACTTGTTATGCAAGAAAAATAAATTGTCCTTGTTAGTATTGAGGTAATTATACTCAAACATTTAATCGCCTGGCACCTTATTTCGATATTTGGAAGATAATTGTAAACCTGGTTTAGCGAGTTAACATTAAACCACTCAAGCACATCTCCTGGAATCTTCTTTGCTCCCCTCCCTCCAACACCTTAAATTAGTTACTTGCTTTCTTTATTTGGTTTCATGTTGTACAGGCCAGTACCTTCTTAGGCACAGGGTTATGATCTGTGTTTGTCCGCCACCCCATCTCAATCGACAGCCGTCAACTGAGAGAACAAGAGAACAACAAAACTTCGAGGAGAACGCACCGTCCGAGCGTGGAAAAGTGTTATTGGACGATAATTACCTTCCACATATTAAGGTCA